ATCATTTGACCAGCGGGAGGCAAGTCTTGTCTTACATGCGAGAAACAATTAAAAATCCTACTGCTTCACTCCGTAGTTTAAACTTAGCACGTTGTGTAATTAAGGCTTATAAATACGCTTTAATATTATGTAGTTAATGCTTATAAATATGCTTTAATATTATGTAGTTAATGCTTAAAAATATGCTTCAATATTATGTAATTAAAACCTTAGTTCAAGATGCAATGCTACGCAGCTAAACTTAACATAATGTGTAGTTAAAGCTTAACGACATAATCCAATTCTGATTAAGAAGTTAACACACAGGATCACATACGACACCCAAAACTCGAGCACTTCCCAATAGTTCATCTTTCTTCTTCAGGAAAACATGACTCAATGTTGTGCAGTTAAACTTAACATTATGTGTACTTAAAGCTTAACAACATGACTCAATGTTGTGCAGTTAAACTTAACATTATGTGTACTTAAAGCTTAACAACATGACTCAATGTTGTGCAGTTAAACTTAACATTATGTGTACTTAAAGCTTAACAACATGACTCAATGTTGTGCAGTTAAACTTAACATTATGTGTACTTAAAGCTTAACAACATGACTCAATGTTGTGCAGTTAAACTTAAAATTGTGTAGTTAAAGCTTAACGACGACTCAATGTTGTGCAGTTAAACTTAACATTATGTATATTTAAAGCTTAACAACATGACTCAATGTTGTGCAGTTAAACTTAACATTATGTGTAGTTAAAGCTTAGCAACATGACTCAGTGTTGTGCAGTTAAACTTAAAATTGTGTAGTTAAAGCTTAACGACGACTGAATGTTGTGCAGTTAAATTAAAATATTATGTGCAGTTAAAGCTTAACGACATGACTCAATGTTGTGCAGTTAAATTCAATATTAAGACTGGGTTTATCGAGTTGTTTCAGTAAGTAAATATGTTACAACAAGAGTTTAAAGGCACTATTATCGTATACATTAGCGCAACATAAGACGTAAAGGCACTTCCAATTAGTATATTAAATTAATACATGATTTAAACGGATCTTAACTACGAATCTGCTACAGTTTACAGTTATTGCAAACCGCTATTAGATTCAATTATCAGGTCTTAGCACTCTCGTCTTGTCAACCTACAGTGCTGTTATCCGAAAAATGTTGTTATAAAAACAAAAGTAACATTTTGAAACGCAAGTTACATTACAGACAAAAACAATTTTTTTAATCAAAATGCAAATTACAATAAGTTTTCTGATCTTGTCTCTAAGCTCTACTCAAGTACTAAGCCTACTCCTGAAAAAAGCTGGGTTTTTTGTTTGGTTTAACACCCGGCTTCGGTTTTAAAACACGTGATCAGAAAGCAAGCTTGCTGAAAAAGTAATGCAGGAAATAATTCCTTCTGCCTCCTGGCAAAGGTTGACATTTCGGAAGTCCTCCTACACAAACATTTCTCAGTTCAGGAAAACCAGCAGAACCGATTATATCGGTTTTATTGTTTAATAATGGTAAGAACCAAGAGATGTTTATACAATTTCTGTTTAATAATGGTAAAAACCAAGAGATTTTTACACAATTTCTGTTTAATAATGGTAGGAGCCAAGAGATGTTTACACAATTTCTGTTTAAGAATGGTAAGAACCAAGAGATGTTTACACAATTTCTGTTTAAGAATGGTAAGAACCAAGAGATGTTTACACAATTTCTGTTTAAGAATGGTAAGAACCAAGAGATGTTTACACAATTTCTGTTTAAGAATGGTAAGAACCAAGAGATGTTTACACAATTTCTGTTTAAGAATGGTAAGAGCCAAGAGATGTTTACACAATTTCTGTTTAAGAATGGTAAGAACCAAGAGATGTTTACACAATTTCTGTTTTAGAATGGTAGGGGCCAAGAGATGTTTATACAATTTCTGTTTAAGAATGGTAGGGGCCAAGAGATGTTTACACAATTTCTGTTTAAGAATGGTAAGAACCAAGAGATGTTTACACAATTTCTGTTTAAGAATGGTAGGGGCCAAGAGATGTTTATACAATTCTGTTTAAGAATGGTAAGAACCAAGAGA